TGGCATATTACAAAATTTGCTTAACATGATATTTTTCAACAATTGCTATGTACAGGATAACGAGGGCATATTAATATGCAAATTTATCAACACAGTAATAAATTATTTCATGCCATGGATGGCATGCCTCAGGGTTTAGAAAATAGTAAAAACTATGAATATTAAGTTATTAAATAGACTTTCTGAAATAGCCAAAGATACTGATTATGTTGAACACATAAAGCCTGTTTAACATTAGATGCCAGAACTTAGGACAGAGGTCTGATGAGCGTTGTCCTTTGAAAAATTATAGCTTTTATATTAGCATTTTGTAGCCATATTTTCATTATTTCTAAAATTTATAAACTCTAACTTTGCTATTCAAAGTGTGCTCTGCAGACCAGCAGTGTCAGCATCACCAGGAAGGTCAGAATCTGTATTTCTAGCAAGATCTCAAGGTGATTCATGTGTACATTGAGAAGTACTGCTCTTAAAATGTTTTTTCTCATTTCAACTTTGGGTTTACCCACTAAAGCCAAGCAACATGTAATATAGTAATAATTGAGATTATCCATAGCCCTTGTGCTCTACTTTGAGTGCTACAAGTACTTCTGAAAAGTGATCAGAGAAAAAGTATTGAACTAAAAATACTAAATGGGCCTGTTTAGGGGGTAGAAGTAACTAAAGTTTATGCCATAAAATGAACAGTCCTCGTTTTAGGCTGTTTTTCTATATCATTGCTTCTCTGCTCTACCAGTAGTCATCTTCTTTTATCATCTTCCTATTTCTTAAGCTTTCCAGAGCCTTGCCTAGTGGCCTGTATGTAATTGTACCCTTTTCAGGACCTAAGATCTACTTGAGTTACCATTTTATTTGAAATCAGTAGTTGACAGCCTGTTGTCAAACGAAGGCTTTAGTTATTTTTATTCTAATTCATTAATTCACAAACTCTTTTACCAGAATAACCTTCAGGGAGCCTTTTTAAAATAAAAAATGTTGAGTAGGTGTTGAGTAAGGCTCAGGAATCTGTCTTTTGAAAACACAGGTCTACTATACAGTCAGGTATGGGAGCTGCCATTCCAAATTCAGGGATGAAGGTAGGTAATAAAAAGTAAAGGCTAGTCAGATTTATTTTGTGATTGTTTCAGTAGTTGCGTTGTTTTTATCCTCTGTATTTTTCCCAGTATTTTCAAATAATCTTTTTGATTTCTGTTATTTAAAAGGGAAGGACTCTAAAATAATAGACTACTCAGGGAAATCAATGAGAACTTGTGAAATATTATTTCCATTGTTGTTGTTAGGTGCCATTGACTTGGTTCTGACTCATAGCAACCCTGCGTACAACAGAAGAAAACACTGCCTGATCCTTGTTCCACTGCTATTCATAAAGTTTTCACTGGCCAATTTTTTCAGAAGTAGACCACCAGGTCCTTCTTCCTAATCTGTCATAGTCTGGAAGCTCTGCTGAAACCGTCCATCATGGGTGACCCTGCTGGTATTTGAAATACCAGTGGCACAGCTTCCAGCATCACAGCAACATGCAAACCACCACAGTATGACAAACTGACAGACGAATGTTGGATTATTTCCATTTAAAAAAAAAAAAAAAACCCATTGCTGTCAAGTTGATTCCAACTCATAGTGACTCTATACGACAGGGTACAACTGCCTCATAGCGTTTCCAAGGAGTGCCTGGTGGATTCAAACTGCTGACCTTTTGGTTAGTAGCTGTAGCTCATAACCACTATGCCACCAGGTTTTCCTTATTTCCATTAGGATAATGGAAATCTTAAGTTTACCTTCATTCAGTTATCAAGAGTGAACTTGAAAGATACCTATGTAAATAAGCATATAAGAAGCAACATGCTGTTATGATAAGCTCTGGCCTAAGGGTCCTGGCCGACTAGCTATTTGTCAGGTCACGTTTGGACCATAGTGTCCTCATCTATGAAATTTTATTACTGATCTATGTGTCCCATACACTCTTAGCATTGAAATAATGTTTTAAGAAATGGTAAATGGTATAGGATGACAGTGATGAACCAAAAGCACCTATTATCTCTTTAATACATTTTGTGCAAAACACATCTGTTTTTAGACTGTCAACAGTAGTAGTATGAATATGGTTGACCTGGTTTTTTGTGTTTGTTTTTAACTTCTTTTGAAATAATTTCAGACTTACTGGAAAGTTACAAAATTAGCGCAGAATAACCATCACGCAGATCCCCCACGTTAACCATTTTACTCCCCCCCCACATACATTATTTTTCTGAAACTTTTGAGAAGTTGCATACATGATGTCCCGTTATTCCCAAATACTTCCATGTATGTTTCCCAAAAACACAAACTTTTTTTTATATAATCACAATTATCAAAGTCAGGAAATTATCACTGCTCTAATAATACTGCTGTCCAATCAGCAGACTTTATTCAAACTTTGCTAGTTATCTCACTGATTTCTTTATAATAAAAAAAGAAAGGTAAGTAGGTTGATTGATTTGAGGGCCTACAGCTCAGTTGTGGATCACACATTACGTTTATTTGTCATGACTACTCTTATTTAATCTTGAACGTTTTCTCTGTCTTTTATAATCTTGACATTTTTGAAGCGTATAAGCCAATTGTTTTATAGTATGTCCCTCAGTCCCAAAATAGGTTTTGGATGACCTACTTTTAGTGTTTAGACAACCAGATTTAAAATGTGGTAGTGTATATATTATAAATCGGGTTTAAGTGCTTATTTAATTAATTTGTAAGAGAAAGGAAGAATCTTGTGCTAATTAAATTTAATTTTTCAACTTTATAAATGAGATTATTAATTATTATTCTAGAACTGAAAGCCCAAGAGTTTTAAAATTCAAGACAGTTTAGCGCTGTTAGATATTCTAACTTGTCAAATGGAGATTGCATTAGGAATTTGGTTCCTAGGAGCTGACAGAATAGAATCAAAGAATACCAAGACAGAAAAAAGTCCTGTTTGGAGATTAGTAGAACTACTTGAAAGATATCAAATAAAATTGGTTCAGTCATTTCCTGGACTAAGTACATATTTTTAATTTGGTGTAGAAAATCTGAAGTACACTAAGGATAGAGGGGTAAGATGGGGCCTATGTTTGAAGTAATGATGAGCAGTGGTACAGAGATAGTAATGAATAAGAATGGAGAGAAGTGAACAGTTAGGACTCTAATAGGAAATTTGTCTGAGATGTAAGTTTGGAATGATGACTTGAAATTTAGGTTGAAGAATTTAGAGGATGTACTCTAGCTTCTAGAATGCCGTAGATTTTATAGCATAAAGTGACATCATCATATTGGCTTTTGAAGGGGAAAGTATAATTGCTATGTGTAAAGACAGATTGAAATGATAAACAAAGCACCCACACCCCACAAAAAAGGCAGGAATGCTAGCTAAAGACCCAGTGTGAGATTTGATAAGGACTCAGTTATAATGTTTTTTGTTAAAGTCATCTGAATTGCATTGTTAAGAATCGAATGGATCTAGTGGTCAGTTACTGTTGCAAACAGTTGATTGGAACTATACAATCAGAAATAATAATAGGAGACTGGAAGGGTAATTGAGTCAGTATTAAAACACTGAACTGTTTTATTTTTCATACGTGGGCACTGACATAGTTATGTAGAACTGGAAAAAAACGTGATTTTGGTATATAAAATGGACTGTAAATTATATACTTTTTAGAAGAATATTCCAGAACTGGACCTTAGGCGGTTGATGCTATGTGAACTATTGATGCTCTGTAGTTATCATTCAATAGTTATTCTGCACTCACTGCCTGACAGACATTGTTGTAGGCATTGCGTACCTAGTATGTAGATGAATGTAATTTTATGAAGGAGCTGGGGATTCAAATAAATAAATGTATAATATGATGGATGATAGGAAGCTGAATGAGGAAAAATAAAGCTAGGGCACTGGGGATAGAAAGTGAAGGAGGAATTCTCTAACCCAGTTCAGCCTCCACGATTATAACTTTTACTATTCCCTGTCCCTGTAATTTCTTTTGGCCATTAATGCTGTGTTTAACTTTGCACTGACAGTGTGTCCTAGGGATCAGCTGTATCCCCTGTGGCCTGGGTTGTATATAGCACTGCTCTACGTAGAGTTGGTATATAATAGCATAAAGCTGATGGTGAATTTTGTTTATTTGAACTATTAAATTAATCTGCATTTTATAATTTCCTATACATTTTTCTTTTTTAAAAGGACACTGTCAAGTACTTTTAAACCATTATGTGTAATAAAAACAATTTCCTGTTTATTTTTGTTTATTGACTGCCCTTTGATTTTCTTGTTTGGAATGGATATAAGTTAATTAAGCTTTTTATTTGTCTCAAATTATCAATATTAAGGTGCTAGGAATAATAACCTGCTTATTACTACTATATATGTCTGTAAAATATATTTGTTATGAGTAACTTTTTTAAATTACTGTTTGATTTAGTTTTACTATCTAATATTGTGGGGGTTTGTTTTTTTAGTTCAAGGGTTAGTCATTAACTGAGGAGTAGTTTGTCTTTACATAGAAGTATACAGTGACTTACTGTATTTTTTTATTTATTTAAAAAAGTACAAAATTAGCACCAGATGTTCTATTTACACTACAAGTGAATTCTAAACTATTTCAGTGGCTTAAAAGTTTGCTAGTTATTTATAGCATGCTTATTAATGTAAATGAAAGTTTTGTTGGTGGTTTCAGTATTCTAGTATTGATATTAAAGTATATGACATTAGCTCTTATAATTACGTTTTAAACTAAGCTGCTGAGAACAAATGTAGTTGATTTTTTTCATGTTTTCCCGTCTCTTTTTTAATACAGCTGTACACGTTAAGTAAATGTGTGAGATTTTTCCCCTCTAATTGTAATTTCCTGTCATAACAAATAGGAATTAGTAGAGGAAAGATTTCTTTTTGGACTAAATTTATAACAAGTAACTTTTATTTGTGAAACTTTTATTTTGACTGTCAAAAATACTTGCTGACCACAGCTGCTTTGTTGTAGGAGGACTGACAAATGGTAGTGGTCGCTATATCTCTGCAGCACCTGGAGCAGAAGCAAAATTTAGAGGTGCTTCAAGCACTTCCAGTCTATTTAGTTCCAGCAGCCAGCTCTTTCCTCCTTCTCGGCTTCGATATAATAGGTCTGATATTATGCCTTCTGGCCGCAGTAGATTATTGGAAGATTTCAGAAACAACCGCTTCCCAAACCTTCAACTTAGAGACTTGATTGGACACATAGTTGAATTTTCTCAAGACCAACATGGTTCTAGGTAGGTGATTATGATCCATGATACTTTCCATTTCATTATTGCTTTGAAAATGACAACCTTATAAGAGCCTAAATTTTTCTTGACTAGAATCAGCTAATCTACATAAATATTAGAAACTTAAAAAATAGTAATCAGTGTGGATCAATTTTTCCTTCATATCAGGACAAATTATAAAAATGCAGGGTTTTTTAATGGTTTTTCAGTTTTGTACAGTGAGAATATTTTTATAATGAAAATATAGTAATGCCTTCTATTGGATTATTTTGATTACATTGGCTGTGAGTATATTTACTTCTTTGAAGATAGTGCTCTGAAATACCTTTGTGGACCTAAGTGTCCCTAATGTATAATTTGCCTTAAAAAAAACAAAGTTAAATACTTATGTGTTGTTTCATGGGTTAGTATTTAATGTGATTTGGCTTAAATTGAAATCTTTCACTTTTTTTGTAGGAAAATTTGTTGCCTTTGTCCATTGAGCATTTAGATACAACGTAATGCTTGAGAGATACATGTGAATTAGTATTCTCAAAAAAGCTTAGAAAGGAAAATAGAAGTAGAATTCTAATGTATTTATTAAATTTGAGATATTTTGCCTTTTTATTTTAAGGTAAACTTGAGATTTTAAAAAAAGGTTTTTGATTAGATACTTGCTTACAAATTTTATCTCTATATAATTGAAGGTTCCATGAGAATAGTAAATAAATCTTACAGTGCCCAAACAGCTAGTAGCTTAGTTAGGAATTCAGTAGTGTTTGAGTTTTATTCCTAAGGATTATTTATGTTCTAAAAATAGATGCTTAGTAATATTTTATATATTATTAAAAACAAATGAGCCAAATCTTTGTTAATTTTGTTTCGTTGATTATAATGTAAGAGAACTAACCTAAACAGGATTAGACACCTTAATGCCCAGATTTTCCTCAATCTAAATAACCAAAGTATGACCTTGAGTGTATCGCACCTGAATTTAGAGACCATCTCAAGAATAGATTTGACACATTGAATATTTAATGACCAAAGATCAAACGATTTGTGGGATGACATCAAGGACTTCATACATGAAGAAAACAAAAGGTCATTAAAAAGACAGAAAATTAAAAAAAGACCAAAATGGATGTCAGAAGAGACTCTGAAACTTTCTTTTGAACGTAGAGTAGCTAAAGTGAAAGGAAGAAATGATGAAGTAAAAGCTGAACAGAAGATTTCAAAGGGCAGCTCAAGAAGACAAAGTATTAAAATGAAATGTGCAAAGATCTGGAGTTAGAAAACTAAAAGGGAGGGAAGAACATGCTCGGCATTTCTCAAGCCAAAAGAGCTGAAGAAGAAATTCAAGCCTCAGATTGCAATATTGAAGAATTCTATGGGCAAAAAATTGAAAGATGGCAGGAAGCATTAAGAGAAGATGGAAAGAGTACACACGGTCACTGTACCAAAGAGAATCAGTCAACGTTCATTTCAGAAGGTAGCATATGATGAAGAACCGATGGTAGTGAAGGAAGAAATCCAAGCTGCACTGAAGACACTGGCGAAAAACAAGGCTTCAGGAACTGATAGGATACCAGTTGAGATGTTTCAGCAAATGGATGCAACACTGGAAGCGCCCACTCGTCTGTGCCAAGAAATTTGGAAGACAACTCCCTGGCCTGCTAACTGGAAGAGATCATATTTGTGCCTATTCCAAAAAAAGGTGATCCAGCAGAATGCAGAAATTATCGAATAATATCATTAATATCACATACAAGTAAAATTATGCTGAAGATACTTCAAAAATAGTTGCAGTAGTACATCGACCAGGAACTGCCAGAAATTCAAGCTGGATTCAGAAGAGGATGTAGAATGAGGGATATCATTGCCAATGTCAGATGGATCTTGGCTGAAAGCAGAGAATATCAGAAAGATGTTCTTCTGTGTTTTGTTGGTTATGCAAAGACATTCAACTGTGTGGATCGTAACAAATTATGGATAACATTGCAAAGAATGGGAATTCCAGAACACTTAATTGTGCTCATGTGGAATCTGTAGATAGACCAAGAGGCAGTCATTTGAACAGAACAAGGGGATACTGCATGGTTTAAACTCAGGAAAGTTGTGTGTCAGGGTTGTATCCTTTCACCAGATAATCTGAGAAGCTAGACTATATGAAGAATGGGTCATCAGGATTGGTGGAACGCTTATTAACAACCTGCAGTATGCAGATGATATAACCTTGCTTGCTGAAAGCAAAGAGGACTTGAAGCACTTACTGATGAAGATCAAAGACTACAGCATTCAGTATGTATTACACCTCAACATAAAGAAAATAAAAGTCCTCACAACTGGACCAGTAAGCAACATCATGATAAATGGAGAAAAGATTGAAGTTGTCAAGGATTTCATTTTACTTGGATCCACAATCAATGTGCATGGTAGCAGTAGTCAGGAAATCAAATGATATATTGCGTTAGGCAAATCTGCTGCAAAAGACCTCTTTATAAAGTGTTAAAAAGCAAAGACAATCACTTTGATGACTAAGATGTGCCTGACCCAAGCTGTGGTGTGTTCAGTCTCTTCATATGCATGCGAAAGCTCGACAGTGAATAAGGAGGACCAAGGAAGAATTGATGCCTTTAAATTATGGTGTTGGCAAAGAATATTGAATATACCATGGACTACCAGAGGAATGAACAAATCTTTCTTGGAAATACAGCCAGAATTCTACTTAGAAGTGAGGGTGGCAAGACCGTCTCAGGTACTTTGGACATGTTGTCAGGAGGGACCAGTCCCTAGAGAAGAACATCATGCTTGGTAAAGTAGAGAATCAGGAAAAAAGAGGAAGACCCTCAGCAAGATGGATTGACACAGTGGCTGCAACAGTGGGCTCAAACATAGCAACAATTGTGAGGATGCTGCAGAACTGGGCAGTGTTTTGTTCTGTTGCACATAGGGGAACTAGTAATTATTAAGATGTTATAACAAAATGTGTCATGCTTTTTGTCCTTTTTGTTTTAAACTGGCTGTCTACTGTATAAAGTGTGTTAGTACTATTTCTGAGAATAATCTTGTGTATATATATGTGGGGGTGTGAGTGTGTGTATGCTCAAGTATGGATTTTACAGGAGCTTGTTTTCAGCTTCCTGTCAAGTCATTTAAAATTTTTCTCCACATAGATTCATACAGCAAAAGCTAGAGAGAGCTACCCCAGCTGAACGACAGATGGTATTTAATGAAATTCTGCAAGCAGCTTATCAGTTAATGACAGATGTTTTTGGCAACTATGTTATACAGAAGTTTTTTGAGGTAAGTGTGCATGCATATCTTTATCTATTCAACTATATCTTTAATACTAAGAATTGCTTTGAAAGTTTGGTTAGTAGGATTCATTTTCATGTAAAAATACATGAGCCTAGTTTAAATGAGAAGTTCAATATGATTAATAATTGAAAATATAAAGCATTGGGAGTAAGTCTTAGGTGAACCACTTAATGGATATTTTAGTCTTTATTTGAATTCTTAGCTATGTTTTATTTTGAATTTAGCTTATTTTTAGTACATAACTAAACTTCTGTGTTGTAGCTTGACTTAACAGGTTTCCTCCACAAGTGTGTCAGAATATAGTTGAGAATTATCTGGGTGATTGAGTTTTAGTGGTCTGTATGTGTGACTCAGAAGTCTGTATATCAAAGGTGATTTTTTTTCTGTTTGTTTGAAATGAAGAATGAATATGCTTACTTTATTATTATTTTTTTTTTAAGAAGAAAACAGTATATCTGTATTGGTGGTTAATATAATAGTAACAAAGAAATTTTAGATAGTGTGACTTAAGTATCCCCCCCACCAATTACTAAATGTGATACTTTTAAGATAGACTCAGTGGGTTACAAACAGTGTCTCACTTAGGTTAAACAAAGTAATATTATGGTCACTTTTATTAATGTTATTTTCTTTTCTGTCAGTTTGGGAGTTTGGATCAAAAATTAGCCCTGGCTACTCGTATTCGTGGTCATGTCCTACCCTTAGCCTTGCAGATGTATGGCTGCCGTGTCATTCAGAAAGCATTAGAATCTATTTCATCTGACCAGCAGGTAATTGTAAGTTAAGACAATTTTTTTTATTACTTTTTTAAAAAGTATTACTTTCTTTTATATCTTAACATGAATCCTAAAATGAAAGGACAAGTATTTCCACAGTTAGACTAAAATATCTCTTAGTAGTGTCTCAAAGAGCACATTACTAATTTAAAATTATCACATAGATCTTTGATCTGTCTTCCGTATCCATTCTCTTCAACATCCTTTCATCACGAAATGAAGATACTTGAATACCTACCACGTTTCAAGCAGAGTGCTTAGATGATGGCTGTTTTTGCTGCCACTTGCTTACTTGGTTTCCTGTAATAATAAGGAATGCATTTTACTATTTCCAGTGTTTATTTGGATTGTGTCTTACAGTTCCATTACAAAAATAATTTTTTAAAACTAATAGCATTCTTACATACTAGTTAAAAATATATGTAGATATATTTTTTAAGAATCTCACTCGATAGGAAAAAGGTCATCTTAACAAGATTTATAATTCTTTAAGAGAGAGAAAAGAGAACATATAATTAAATAGAAGGTAAATCATGCTTCTGGACAGAAAGTCTAAATATGTTAATTAAGGATTAATGCAGTTCAGTCATGTGCTCATGGGAATTTCTTCGTAACTGATCAAAATAATTTTAAATATTATTTGAAATAGACAAGAATATTAAGGAGAGTAGAGGATGAGGTGAAATGGTGATCCACTAGATTTTTAAAATACACTGTGAAGCAGCACTAATGAGTGTGGTTCTTGAATGAGATTAAACAGACTTTTCAAGTGGGATTGATAGCTCCAGATACTATTTTATATATAACAGATTTAGGTTCTACAATGAAGACATAATAAGGGTGAAAGAAATAATTTCTTAAAACGTGTAAGTGATTAGTAGAGAGTTTAAAAAGAGATCAGCTTTGACTCAACCCACGTACATACAGTAAACTAAATTGTAGAATTAAAAACAATAACAACAATAATAATAAATGCACAGATGAATGGATATGTATATGTTTATGTATTAATCATACCTCTGAAAATCTGTAACAAAATAGTATTATTCCTCTGGAGAAGATACTGAGTTTTGGTGTAACTGAAGATATGTCACATTAGAGAAAGATGAGCAAATTTTATTGTGTAAAAGTTTAGAACTTCTCTACCAGAAGTCTCAAACTGGTATTGATATTTTAAAGACATTTTAAATGTATTCAATATTTGAAAAGAGGACAAATTGAGACTAAGTCTTAGGTAAGTCAGGTAATGAATAATGATATGATATTCTGTATTGGAGCCCTGGTGGTGCAGTAGTTAAGAGCTACGGCTGCTAACCTAAAGGGTGGTAGTTCGAATCCACCAGCCACTGCTTGGAAAACCTTTGGGGAGTTCTGCTCTGTCCTATAGGGTAGCTATGAGTTGGAATTGACTCGACGGCAATGAGTTGATTCTGTATTAGGATGCCTACGTACATTTTATTTTGTATTTAACCAAGTTTTAGTTCATAAGTAAATATCTGTGTTGTAGCTTGACTTAATGGGTATCCTTCACAATTACGTCAGAATGAGGTTGAGAATTCTTTGGGTGAGCAAGATATTTTAAAGATATTCAAAATGTGAATGCCTTTAAACTGGATATGTGTGTTCCAGTTCTCCATAGTACTATTCCCTATTGCTCTCATACAACAAACAGATTGTTGTACTAGCTACCAGTGTTTTTCCCAAAGGATTAATACGTTTATTTAACAAGTTCTTGTAGATTTATCAGAAAAAAATGCTAAGATCATTAGCTAAAAGATGTGAGAGTTCATAAAAGAAGGAAAATGCAGTTAGCAAATAAACTTTACTATAAATAAATTTTAACCTTATTATTAAATAAATACAAATTGAAAATCATGTTTGCCTGTTAAATGAGCAAAAATTTAAAATATCCTGAGATTCTATCCCTGGGGAAGGTCTCAGAGGTAAAGAAAATCTGTATGAAGCAAGTTCTTTAGCATAAGAGTATTAAAAAGAAAGAACAAAAATGTTCAATAATTTCTGCCTATAATTGAGATAATATGTGAAAATCGCATAGCCTGTAAGTGCCCAAGTTCTTGCCCTTTTCCAAGTACTTGATAGGCTTATGCAGTTATTAAAAACAATTCGTGTATTTTTAGAAATTTTAAAAATGCTAAGTAGGGGGTAAGTATAGAATTTTTAATTTATCATCAGCTGAGGAAAATGTACACAGAAAAGATAGTAGTTATGGCAGATTCAGCATTACTAGGTTATACTTCAGCAGATGTAATTTACATTATAATTCTACAGATGTTTTAGTAATTTCCAACTTCTCTGACTTCTGATAATTATATTTTAGGGAAAAAATTTTTAAATCTTTTCATATGTGAAAAATTTCACAAACAGTAAATACTATTTTTGAAGTTTTTGTTTCTATCTCAGTATTTTTAATTCTGTTAACATTGTTTAGGATGGAATTATTTAAAAGTATCTTATCTTTTCAGAGTGAAATGGTAAAGGAGCTAGATGGGCATGTACTCAAATGTGTGAAAGATCAGAATGGAAACCATGTTGTACAAAAGTGTATTGAATGTGTTCAGCCACAGTCACTACAGTTCATCATTGATGCTTTCAAAGGACAAGTAAGATTCATTTTTGCTTCTAATTAGTTAGCAGGGTATTATTTTAGAATTTGAGTGTTAACACATTTTTCATAAGTCCCAAGATAATTCTCAGCACTTTCATACAAAAATAGAAGACACAATAGTTAACTTCTGCCTCTTTCATAGGGTGACTCAGTGGAGAGCTTCATTTTTTTCAAGCTGAAAAACTGAGAAATATATAAGTTTAGGCATGTTACTTTAAAAAATAAAGGTAAACGCTATTAGAATTATAAACCCAAAAATTGTTT